GTGTTAAAGGATCAGTGGATCTGTGTTCGACTACTCCACCTGCATTTTTGAGCTCAGATCCACTGAGAAACTTGCTGTTTCAGCAACATTTAATTTAAAAACTGTACTTTTGAGGTTAAACAAATGTTCATAATTAATTTAAATAAATTACCAGTTAAAAGGGACATGGAAATGTCTCTTTTTTGAATCGAAAAAATATTGAACCGTGAGACTAAAGTATTGAACCGAACTGAATCGTGAACTTTCTGTATCGTAGATAGATAGACAGACAGAGTTAAGGCCAAATGTTTTTTTTTTTTTTTCAGTTTGAAAAGGTCAAATTCCAAATAAAAATGGAGAACACTTTTCCAAAAATGAAAAGAACAAATAAAAAAAATTCTAGTAAAGAAAAATGTGTATTTTAAATAACCCGAATGAACTTATCCAGAAGGGAACAAACAATGTAATCTGTAAAATGTTAATTTTAATAAGGTGCTGGAAATGAGTGACAACAACGTTTGTTCCTTTGTCACACAACACAAGGTTAAATCCAAAAGTCAGGACGTCACAGAGTGACCAAACGAGTGGGAGAGCATAAACTTTTACAAAACATACAGATAAAAGATTCACAGTGTGGAGGAAAGGGAGGCTCCATGAACTGCACCAGTTAATTAAGGCAACAAACACACAACCCTTTGTATAAGAGTACAAAAAAACAAAACAACACAAAACAAGCACCTGGAACAAATTACACAACCTCCCTTATCTCCTGGGGAAATGCATAAAAATGCTTTCTGTGGCTTCTGTGCGTGACAAAAAAAAGTAGCAAAAACATGAATGTGACAAATTTGCATCTGCAGTTGTGCATTTTTAACGTRTATAAAGATGTTTTCTCACACAACTTCCATTTTGTCAGTCAACTAATCCAAGAAAACAGAAACGTCTTGTTTGAGTGAGTCGACTGTTAGAAACCTGCTGGTGTTTTAAGGGAGGGCGTAGAAATTACAACATGATGTAATTCTGTAGCCTGTGCAACAAAACTGTTTAAAACAGTAATAAAACATCTCTATGTTTGGCTGTTAACTGTGTTAGTGTTGAAGCTCCTTCAATAAATACTGGCAAACAGTGGATGAAAAAAATAAAACAACACAAAACAAATTAACAGCAGATTAAAGGGATCCATGATTAGTTGTAACATTAGACTTTATTTAATAAACATAAATTTTAACTGTAAAATAAAGACTGTAAAAATACTGTAGGGTGTTTATTTTTATCATTTTTAAACAAAGTTAAAAATATATTTTAACACGGACGGAGCCATTTTATTTCCACGCAAAGCATTCTGGGTAAATGATGACGTGGATAGGTCCTCGGTGCGAGGCTGCTAG